GGGGGCTGGGGGAGGGTCGCCGCGACGTGGAGCGGGTGAGGCCGACCCGGCGTGACTGCGGAGGGTGAGTGAGGCGGGGTCGGGGGCTGGGCACTTCCTTGCCGGAGGCGTGGCGGTTGTGGAGGTGTGGGGCCGACCTGCGGCCGGAGGAGAGGCCGTGGCGGTGGGGGAGAAGGTGGTGGGCAGGTGAGGGGCCACGGTGGGGCCGGAAGGAAGGGGACCCGGGAGGCTGGGCAGCGCGCTGGGTGGGTATGAGTCAGGGCCCTTGCCTCGCATCTAGGGCCGTTGTGGGGGGGTGATGGGACAGCCCTGGATTTCTGGACATCGGGCTGACTTTTTGGGTGCTTGTGCCCCTTGGTGAAGGTGGTTGTTCTCCCTGGATGTTGGGATAGACGGTACTGTGACCCATAGCCCAGCTTCCTCCTCTCGCCACCTATTTGCCTTGCCCTGATCTCTGTTTGTGAGTCCACCTAAGTTAGGGCATGCCAACAGTCGTGACCTGTCCAGAGCCTTGCAGGTTGGACTCGTCAGTCGTGGAGGAATTTCCGGGCCATTCTTTAGTCATCTTTGTTTCTGCACGCTATCTCCAGCTTCCTGATGTCCTTTCTCTTCCTCACACAGAGTCTATTGCCAACGTCGGCGTGATCCCATTCTCTCCTCTGGATTTTCCTTACGTTTTGTCGGTGGCGCCCACAGGGGTATGTCACACTTTGCTAGCTGGGATGCTTGCTGGCTGAGCGTAGTTGGCTCTGGGGCTGGTGCTGGAGCAGAACGGTATTCCCCTGAGTTAGCGTGGGGCGAGGGAGTGGTGCAAGGTGGAACCACAGACCTGTCTGGGGTAGCTCTCAGGACTGCAGGCTCAGCCTGTCGTGCGGCCCGACCTACTGCCATGTGTGCTCAGTCTGAGTCGGGAAACTAGCGGACCCTTCTGAAGTCCGTGTTCCTAAAGGCCTGAGGGGATGTTCTGGCTGTAGCATTATCACACGCTTTTTCTCCACTTGGGTAAAAAACAGATTTTGGGTGTGACTTTCTTACAGAGGTGGGGGCCAGAACCTCTATTAACATTGAAGAATGAGAGTTCCCTCAGATCAGTTCCTTTATTCCAAAAATACCAGGCAATTATCTTGGTTTTTTAAGAGATTCATAGTGGACAGTAGGTGGTTTTTGCCTTCTGGAGTTTAAAATTAGACACACACTCCAGTGAGGGAAAGACAGCGCAGTATTGGGGGAGCCTTGGGGCAAGGCAGGCAGTGGCGAGGGTTCCGACAGGCCAAACTGAGGTGAGAGGGTTGAGAGTGCGCCCCTACCAGGGCAGGGGCGGGACCAGGCAGGAGGATGGGTAATCAGAAATGGGAGGTGGGTCCTCTGGAGCAGGAAGCTTACTGGTCACTTAACACACAGGATAAAGAACAAGGAAATGGGAAGGAGCCAATATGGTTGTGCAAAAGAACCCACTCCCTTTGCTATGTAGACAAGTCAGGATATAAAAATACCCCTCACAGTCTTGGTCTTTAGATAAGTAACAGAGCCTTGTAGCCTTTAAAGCTTGAGAAGCCTCTTCCTGAACTTAAATGGTAAGAAAGCCATATGAAGTCTTTCAGGAAAAACAGCAACCCTGGAACCTAGGCTGTGGGAGTTCATGCTGTCTTGTTGTAAACGTGGGGAAGGTTCCAGACCCTAAACCGTTGGGTAGAGATGTTGACAACTTCACAATTCTTCAGGCTTCGGAAAGATAGCAGACATCCTGTATATCCTATGATATTCCTACAAGAGTGGGGAAGGTTTTTAATAATCGGATAAATCATATATCCATGATTAGATGAGTGAGTATCCTCACTGTGGGGTAATGAAGTCTTTAAATAGCCCCACCTCAGTTCATGTGAGGTGTTGCCCCAGGTGAATTTAGGATAGATCAGATTTTGCTGTCAGATGGTTTAGGGAAAAAGACATTATTTTCATAGCTTTTTGGAATTTGCATCTGGAGCATGAAATGGGTTGTGGGGCAGAACTGTGGAGCCAGATGGCTTCCTAATCTTTTGACAATTGGTTTTAGGTTTTCATTAAAAAAAAACCCCAGTGTCAGAGATGCTGGGCCCAAGCAGATTCTAGAATACATTCTTTATGATCTCTTGTTTTGGATTTTGCACGTTCTTGCTTGCTTCCTACTGTCCAGAGAGGTAACAGAGGTGATCGCTCTGCCAAGATGGGTTTTGCCCCGAAGGTGAGTCCACCTCTCCAGTGACTGACTTTGGCTGCACTGCCAGTGATGTGGACGGGGTGGTGTGTGGGCAGCTCTTCAGAAAAAGAAACAAGTCCGCAGAACTGTCCCGTAATGTATGTGTAACTAGTCGTGTGTGTTTGCTGGAACACCGTGTGCCATGTGTGGTGTCAGTGGCCTTTGATGAACGTGGGTCCCTTGTGTTCTGTTTGGGGTCAATGCTGGCCCGAGAAGCTGCGAGGGCACACGCCACACCCCGGCTGTTGTCCTAGCCCTCCACCCCTCTGCTTCCTGGTCCCTGCTTTTAGAGGGCTTCTCCCCTGTGTGCAGTGTCAGGATTGGTGAGGGCACAGGGGCCGTTTGATCAGCTGGCAGTCGCAGGGTTGTGTGATAGGACTCTCGGCTGGAGGGTTCAGAAACCACTGGGGTTGATGTGACGGAAGGAGAGGATCGTAGGTTGAATCAGGACATCCTCTACAGGGATACACAGTGTAGCACATTTTAAGTTGATTTGAAAAGATGATTGGGCGGTCGTTGCTCACTGACATTCTAGCATATGGCTCTTTCACACAGGAAGTGTGCCTGAGCCCTGTGGCTTGGTGGTCTTGTTCCGAGTATCTTTTCTCTCGACTTCCGTGGCTGCTCTCACCCAGGGAGGGGTGCTGAGTGGATCTTTTCTCCAGCACGGATAACCGAGGTCTTTGCAGGAAGGGCTTGCGCCTTGGGCAGCTGGTTCTAGTATTCAGAATGGCGTGGTTCAATCTTGTTCTGAATTGCCCTCTCTTAGTTCTCCTAACCCCACCCTCTAAACTTGCACCTTGGCGACTTTAACATCAGCCCCTTACCCGTCGTGACTGACACCTAGTGTGAAGTAGTAATGATAACCAGCGCAACAGCATTTATGGAGTTTTGACTGTTCGGCGGGCACAGTCCCTGGTGTTTCCTGTGGTCTGTCCTCCTGACGGTGGCTGACAGCACGGGCCGTCAGTAGCTTGCCAGCGCTGCCAGCCAGTGAGTGGTGGAGTTGGGACTGGTGGGGCGTATCTTTGGTCACCCACATGGTGGCGCAGGTCCCCCTGTAGCATGTGTCCTGCAGGGAGAAATGTCCAGAGGATGTCACGGTGAAAGCAGCAAGCAGCAGTGCACCTGCTTGTGGAGCCGCTGGACGTGGGCGCTGCTTAGGGGCCAGGGTGGGAGCTGTGTGCCAAGGCTCCCGCTCCTTCTTGGTCTGTGCCTCAGTTGACTGCAAGTGCAGGTGGTATGCAGGTGCCTGGAGTGGGACATCATGGGGAGGTCACCGTGGAGGGGAGATTATTGTGGGAGGAAGTCACCCTGCGGGGAGGTCCTGGGGGGGTGGTGTTGGCGCAGGTCACTGTTGCGGGGCATGGGAAAGGCTGCCCTCTGTCTTTCCATTGGCCCGGCCTGTTTGTCTCTGTGGACTCCTGCCGTCCTCATGGGCACGTATCCCTGAAAGATCTGTGGTGATCATGTGAGGCTACGAGATGCAGGTGATGGGGTGTCTGTTCCTTAGAAACAGTGTTGATTGATAACACATTGTAAGATCTCCCAGATTGCTCCTTGTGCTGGTGTACCACGTTTCCTGGTGCTCACTGTTCCCCCCCCAACCCCCCCACCCCACCCCACCCCTGAGCCCGTGACCCTACGTAGAGGCCTGCCAGACCCCACTGTCCCCGCACCATCCTCATTGCAATGGGCAAAAACTGTGTGGGCTTGTGTTGATTTGCGTTTCTCTGACTCATGAGTTTGAGCATTTTTCAGTGCTTACTAGCTTATTCAGACTCCTGTTCTAGAATCGCGCATGGAGGGCGCCTGGGTGGCTCAGATGGTTAAGCATCTGCCTTTGGCTTAGGTCATGATCCCAGAGTCCTGGGATCGAGTCCTGCATTGGGCTCCCTGCTCCTTGGGAGCCTGCTTCTCCCTCTGCCTCTCTCTGTCTCTCATGAATAAACATAAAATTAAAAAAAAAAAGAAAAGAATCGCGCATGGATATCCTATGCCTATTTTTCTTTTTAATTAAAAACAATTTATTTTTGGGCGCCTGGGTGGCTCAGATGGTTAAGTGTCTGCCTTCGGCTCAGGTCATGATCCCAGGGTCCTGGGATCGAGTCCCACATCGGGCTCCCTGCTCCTTGGGAGCCTGCTTCCCCTTCTACCTCTCTCTCTCTGTCTCTCATGAATAAATAAATAAAATCTTTTTTAAAAAAATTTATTTTTATTTATTTATTTTTAAAGATTTTATTTATTTTT